TTTCGGCTTCATACTTCCTGGATCATGCGGCCATAACACAGGCTTCTGCGGGAGCCTTCGTGATCATCAGGCCCCCGGCGCGTCACTGCAAAAATTTCCTGGACGTCCGGGCTGGGGTTACGCTTTCATGCTACCCTGACTGGTCTACCATATCTGGGTCGCCCTGAAGGGTTTCCCGATCACCAAGATATCCCCTCTTGCTGAGGAATCGAGCGGGAGTTATAGGTGGCATTACAAGAACCTTCCTGTGTAATGCTGTCTCGGGCAGTGCTGTAAACGGATGTTTGGAAAACTCTAAAATCCAAATACTTTGGTAAGTGCACACGTTAAGCTTTGCGCACTTGTCTACAAATCCACATAAGTGGTAAGTGTGCACGTTATGCTTTGCGCACTTTCTAAAATCCACATAGCTGGTAAATGTGCACATTATGCTTTGCCTACTTCCTAAAAACCACATAAGTGGTAAGTATGCATGTTATGCTTTGCCACTTTTCTGAAATCCTGTATGGTAGGGGTTACGCGTTATTGACCTCGTTCTCTTTCTCTGAGTTGGTTAGACCCCCGGTACCTTGGGCTCCTCTCAACTAGTTTGGCTCTGTTGACACACTCTGGAAGCATAGCTCCCCTCATCATTGAGGGTTGTATTTGAGCTTGCCTCTCCCGTTGGCCCAGTACTTCCGGGTATCTGTAAACAGATGCTTGGGAAACTCTAAAATCAAAAATACTATGATAAGTGCACACGTTAAACTTTGCGCACTTTCTACAAATCCACATAAGTGGTAAGTGTGCACGTTATGTTTTGCGCACTTTCTGAAATCCACATAGCTGGTAAGTGTGCCACGTTAGGCTTTGCCCACTTTCTAAAATCCACATAAGTGGTAAGAGTGCACGTTATGTTTTGCCCACTTTTCTAAAAACCTGTACAGTAAGAGCTACGCTCAACAGTTTCGTGCTCTTTCTGAGTGGTTTAAAACCCCGGTTCCGCCTTGGACACCACTCCTCTTATGTATCCTCTGGATACCTACTTTAACAGGGTGTTGCTACTAGGGGTCTGTTGAGACAGTTCCTTCAGCACATACAAAGAGAAACGTGCGGTAGCCCCTGTGTGACAGGCCAAGACTAATATGATTCTAGGCTCTTGGTCGTATTCCCTTAAAGGAATCTATTCCTGATTCCAAGCCTTGAGCTCTACCCCGGGCCCAGGAGTCTGGCCCTAACAGGTAAGTTTTTTGGGGTATGTAGCCTAGGCCTTTGGCCGTAGGGAATAACGTCACTGACAGCCGTCTAAACGTCCCAGGGGCAACTCCCATAGTAATATGGTGGAGTTGGTACTTAGTGCTCGCCATGGTTTCGGGCATGCACTCCCCTCAGCATGGTGGTGTGGGTATACTGTTCCCCGTAGCGACCCCTAGAGGACGCAGTTCGAAGTTCCCATGAAAGGGAACGTCTCATGCACTCCCCTCAGCATGGTGGTGTGGGTATACTGTTCCCCGTAGCGACCCCTAGAGGACGCAGTTCGAAGTTCCCATGAAAGGGAATGTCTCAGGTTACTTATGTAACCATGGTTCCCTGAGTAGGGAACGAGACACTGCGTCCTCTAGGTTTCTTGTCATGCTGCGGACGCAAACTTCAGAAGAAGAAGTGAATTATGTGTGCTCCCGAGTTGGTGTTTTTTCAATGTATGCTTCAGACACGGGTCACGACGAGGCGTTCCCCATAGCGACCCCTAGAGGACGCAGTGTCTCGTTCCCTACTCAGGGAACCATGGTTACATAAGTAACCTGAGATGTTATATATTGACAAGGTCGGATGAAGAACCAAGGAAACAAAAGACACAAGGATGAGATAATGAGCAGCTAAACAAGACACAGGTGATTAACATAATCAGTAACCATGGTGATAATCAAACTCAAACAGAGGAAGGAATAAGGGTAATATCAAAATAAGATATATAAATCTTTTTCCGTTTAGTTTCTCTAAACTGAAAAACACAAACAAAACATGACAAAAGTAAGGTTTAATTAATTAATATATTAATATTAGTCAATGCATTAGGTATCACAATACTTTTACAACTTTTTTATTAATTTAAGTACTTTTGCAGCATTCATTTCAAAATGTAATTTTTTTTTCTTTATTGATGTGACATGTGGCCAAGTATGGTGTCTCATACTCGGGATGTATGGGACCCATCCCATTTATCCCATCTAAGTGCACACACAGACCAGTGAGTAGTGAACAAACACACACACCGTGAACACACACCCGGAGCAGTGGGCAGCCATTTTTGCTGCAGTGCGTTGCTCAAGGGTCGTGGTATTGAAGGTGGAAGAGAGCACTGTACGTTCACTCCCCTCACCTACAGACCTTGCCAGTACCGAGACTCGAACCCTTTGGATTACGAGTCTGACTTTCTAACCACTAGGCCACAATACACTTAAACTTAAAATTTAAAAATTAAACTTAATCTTAAATTAAACTTTAAAATATTGTTCATTGTTGGTTCATGATACCTAATGCATTAACTATTGTTAATCAATTTAACCTTAATGTTAAATTTTATTTAAATAAATAATCATACATTTTAAATAAACATTATTTGTGTTGGATTGTGCTATGGCCAGTGAAGGGTCAATAAATAATTAAGCTGTCACTTAAGGAAATGACATTTAACCAAATCAGCATATTAGAATGATTTCTGGAGGATCATGTGACACTGAAGACTGGAGTAATGATGCTGAAATTTCAGCTTTGCATCACAGGAATAAATTACATTTTAAAATATATTCAAGAAGAAAACTTAATTTCAGTTGTAATAATATTTCACAATATTGATATTTAGTGATTTTGTTAATTCCACTCATTTAATTAATTTACCTTTATCCACCATAAAGTGTGACAGGCCAGTACACCCCAATACTGAATTTTTTTTTGTTTATTTTAAATCGAACAATTACTGAAAAAGTACATTTAAACTGTATTGATCTGAACTATTGTGTTTTTGAACTTTATTATAAAATTCTAGCAGGATCACTTGATTCCAGACACATTGGTAATGTGTTCAAGTCAGAGTCTTGGCAGTGTGCTTGTATTTTTTCATCACTTCACCAGTTTTCAATACCGCACTGCCGTTGACTTTCAGGGTGAGTCATTTTGAGTTTTGTGCTTGAATAAGAGCCCCAGGTGTTCTTACAATATGTATTTCAGGAATATTAGATCTGTTTTGTCTTCTGAAAATGTTTGACACGTTTTTGAGTTTGCATTGAATTCCAGCACCAGTTTTTGTGTTTATTGGCTAATGCTTCAGTTGTACAGCACTGGGCATAAAGGTTTATATTCAAAAAGATAATATCACAAAAATGATCTTGCTATGATGGATTGTTTTTGTAAAGCTCATGCATCATGAGTCGTCATATATCTTTCAGCAAATATGTTGTGAGTCATATGTGAATCAGCAGCTGTGCTTTGTTAAACCTGAATAATAAATACATCTATCATTACCTCCTTTTCCTAGATCATCAGACCACATGACATGTCTGAGGTTCATCTCTATAATCCTGCACTTGCTGTCAGAGAGAGGGTCCTGTTTTCTTTGGTCTATCCCTACTGCATGCTCCAAATCACCACGTGGCTCAGTCTCTTTTACAGGGGTTCTGTGGAGGTCATCTGAGGCACAATAAAGAAAGAATGGTTAGTGAAATGCGACATGATGAACTAACGTGTTATGCTGTATTTATTGGTAATAGTATGCAATGTGATGTTGCGTACCTTCTGGCTGATTGGTGTCTGTATGTTCTGTTTGCGCAGGGAAAAGCAGCAGCACTTTGTTGTGGATGCGTCTCTCCGAGGGGTTTTCATGTGTAGTTCCCACTTTGATGTCAGGGAGATGTACGTGTAGGTCCCTTTTTGGTAAATTCTCACAGCTGCTTTTTTTCTCTTTTATTTCTGTTTGATTCTTCAAGACAGTTCCAAAAGAATTACATGCACGTTTTTTTGGGTGGGGGGGAATTTACAAGAGACAAGGTTATTTTGTTGTTTCAGAACACTTACACAGTGTTGGGAAGGTAACTTTGGAAATGTAATCGGTTACAGATTACAAGTTACCCTATTTAAAATGTAATAAGTAGTACAACTATTTCAATTACTTTATTAAAGTAATGTAACTGATTACATTTGATTACTTTTTGATTACTTTTCTAAATTTCTAACAAATGTTTTCAACTGTAAATCATTTTGAAACATTTAAAGCAGGCAGGGTTAACAAAATCAGACTTTAGCACCACTTTTTACTTTTAGATCGTTCTGAGGTTAAATACAGATTTAAAAAATCATAAGAAATAGTTTAATAGCTATGATACTGTTTTTGAAATCAAATCTTTGCGTAGCTATGACATGACGATTAAACACTTAAATAATTGATTACCTTAAACTATTAATACTTTTCTTCAACAAAGATACATTAAATTGATTAAAAGTAACATTTAAAATGTTACAAGAGATTTCTACTTCAAATAAATGCTGTTCTTTTGAACTTCCTATTCATCAAAAATCCTGGAAATGTATCACAATTTCCACAAAAATATTAAGCAGCACAACTGTTTTTAACATTGATGATAATAAGAAATATCCGCATATTAGAATGACGTGGAAAATTCAGCTTTGCGTCACAGAAATAAATTACATTCAAATAGAAAATTGTTCTTATAAATTGTTCAATATTATTGTTCAATAATAATAATATATATTATTCAATATAATCAACAATATCTGCAGTATCACACTGTGGAAACATAGTCTGGAGTAGTACAGAAACTAGAGTGGATGTTAAAATGCAGAAAGGTATGGAACAGAGAGAACAAAAATAAATTTTTGTAGGTTTATGTGATTTTGAGGTTTGCATATTTGCACATTTGAGGTTTGAATAAGAGCCCCAGGTGTTCTTACAATACATATTTCAGTAATATTTTGAAAATGTTTGACAAATTTAGTCAAGATGTTATCATCACAGAAGTTAAAAGTGGAAAATGAGATGAAGATTTTTTAGGTTTGTTTATAAGAATACATCGGTTTAAGGTTACGGTTGAGATAAATGTGTCTTCAGACATTTTTTTTATTGTAATTGCCAAATGCTGAATTCTTACCATTGTTAAAGTGATGTCAGAGCTTGAGTTGACCAGTGGACTCTGGTTAATGGGCGGTAAGTGGAAAACGGTGAAGCTGGGATCGGTTTCTATATTCACTCTCCTCATGTGAGTTTCACCTCCGCAGTGTCTCACTAAGACAAACACAGTTTGCAGAACATCAGATTTATGACTTCGTGCTTGCATCAGGATGTCACATATGGATTTTATGGACTTTAAATGGTCACTAAACACTGATTTAGTTCTTGTCTTACTCTGGCGGGATCCCTCCATGTGTCCACCGTAGTAGTTGACCCGTGAGAGTGGGCTGCATTCCAAAGACGAATCCACATACACTGACCTCAGAGTGCACATCTCTCCAACACCACATCCACTCTCCATCCGGCTGCGCTTCCCACGGTTGTTTAGATCCTTAGGATGGTCGATCAGATGTGGGAGTATCTGGTATATGTCAGAGAAAAATAATGAAAAGCTCTTTAGCTGAGTTTTGAAGTTATGGTCACGTAGTTTGGAAAAACACATGGACTAAAAAGTATACTTCGGCTTAACATTTCTGCTCCACGTTTTTCATTGTAAAGGTTCAAAAGCCAAATTCTTCACATAAACAGCAGTATATTACATCAGTGACAGAGATTAACCAAGAAAATGAAATCAGATGCTGTTAAAGGTCAGATGTTTACTTATGAGTAGACCTTTCCAAGTGTCTGGTCTTATGATGCCAAAAGCACAGTGTCAATTAAATGGTTAGAGGGAATTTCAGGTCACTGTTGGAAAAGAGAGGAAAAGAGCCAGATGAACATACTGTAGAGGTGATTTTTTTGGTTGCTGGAGTCTCTGTTTGATCTTCAGTCCGATGTGCAGGTTCTGTCTCAGGAATCGGACTCATGTGAGCTCTGCATGTGTCAGCCGCTATCCTGAGACTCTTTACTGGTCTTTTTCTCTCTTTTGGCTTCTCTTTCAGTTGCTCTTTCTGTTCTTTGGTCTTAAAGGTCATTTGTTCATCTGGAGTCAAGATCATTATAGACATTAAGTTAAAGGACAACCATTATTCTGTGTGTCCAATTATATTTCAAAACGAGCAGAAGCTGAAGAAGCTGCTTGTGGTTGTACTGGTTACGCTTTAGGAATCAGTTTTTTCTTCCTCTTGGCAATGGGAAGGATTTTCCAAACTTAATGCTTTTAGTCCCGGCATGAATGGAGTGCATTCAGAGGCAGGTATCTGATATGCGTTTCTTAAAGATGTAAACATTCAACGTCTGAATGGATTTGAACTAAACACTGGCACAAACACTGTAATATATTTTGAGTTTGTTCATTGTGTTCACTGGCATTGCTGTGCTGCACAGGATTTGCTGATCTAATCAAGAACTGCTTTTGAATAGTCAACGTTTATCTGATCTTTAGTGTCATTTGTGTTTTATGAACTCTACCTGATGCCGCCTGAGTTTTCTCCTGGATTTGTACATGTACCAAACCATCCATTATGGGTGGTAGAGGGCCCAGGTCTGCCCTGTTGGGCCGAGGGGAACAGAGGAAATGTGGCTGGTATTTGATCTGATTAGTGTTTTCTCCTGAAAAACAATGAGAAATATCATTTTATGCTAGATATGTAATGTACGCTACTTTTCAAATGTTTGGGGTCTGTAAGATTTAAAAAGGTTTTTGAAAGAAAAGCTGTTCACCAGGCTGCATTTATTTGATCAAAAATACAGTAAAAACAGTAATAGTGAAATATTATCGCAATTTAGAACAACTGTTTACTATTGAAATATATTTTAAAATGTAATTTATTCCTGTGATGCAAAACTGAATTTTCAGCATCATTACTCTAGTTTTCAGTGTCCCACGATCCTTCAGAAATCATTTGAATATGCTGATTTGCTGCTCAAGAAACATTTCTTATTATCAAAGCTTTTACAGCTGCTTAATGTTTTTGTGGAAACCAAGATTTGTTTTGGATCTTGGATCTCCTGGATCTTTTTTTTTCAGGATTATTTAATGAATAGAAAGTTCAAAAGAACAGCATTTACCTAAAACATAAATCTTTTGTAATATTATTAATGTATTTACTGTTACATGAGTAAGTAAATGAGTAAATGATGACAGATTGGTTTGTTTGTTTTTAAATTTTCCATTTTTAAGTAATAATAAATGACTTTAAATATACCATGAAAGATAATGTTAAAGCATTTTTGCTCTTTATTATATACAGTATACCTTTAAAATATATAAAACATTGACCGGATTGTTTAGAGAGTCTCACCTTTAACCTGGCTTGAATTATAGTTCTTCTCTCCAGGTCTGTGATGCATGTTGATGTTCTGTATAACATGTTTATCTGGCAATAAGGGGTGTGTTACACCGGCAAGAGATCCAACCTTTGACAAAAGGAGTCAAAGAATCATATATAAAGAATCAAATCTTTATGATTTTTTCAGGCCTCTCCAAACATGCTCCACATTATCTCTAACTATCTCTTTTGAAACCGCTCAAACACAATGTTCACTTATTTTCAAGGTCATTTGTCTTTATTAGCATGATGGATTTCTCTGCACGTGGCCTCTTCTTTGTATTAAACGTCGGCGGAAAACTAAAACGTGAATGCCGAGCTGGAAGTCCCACTGGAATTCTTTTGGATGCAATACCTTGCAAT